CACAAAGTTTCACTCCTACCCTGCCATTTAATCTCTTTGTCTGCTTCCTTCCCTCAACATGCTTTCATCATAACATCCTTCAGCCCTTTGCTTCCATAAAAACCAGAGGGAAAACATCCATATAAAACAAAAATCAGTACCTATGGATTGCATTCATTGCCTTTGGTTTGGGAGGTGGAGAAAGCATTGCTTTACAGCACCAGAGGCATTTTTATTGACTTTCAATCCTCTTGCTTTCCAAATTAAAACACGAGCATGCAGAGAAAAAAATAGAAAAAGAAAAGAAGAAAAAAACCAACAAAAAATAGCAGAGATATGGCTGCTTTCTTACTTGCTCCTTTGCTGCTGGGAAATTACCATTGCAGCATGTGGTTTTACTAGCTTCTGGCAAGTTTTAGCCAATAAGTTATAAAACATTGATTTAAGGGGGGAAGGAAGGAGAAACAAAAAAGGCAGCAATAAAATTGCTTTTAAGTAACTCCAGTGTAGGTGGTGCATAAACAGGACACATCATTACTCAGTGAAAAATTCTTATTGGACAAATAAAAGGCAAAAAAAAGAAAAGGGGAAAGAACAAAAGCACAAAGGTGAAAGAAAATTCAGAGGTCCTTAGTTCATATTTTGTACTTCATTTTGTACTTATTTTGGCTACCTCAATGGATTCTGGGTGGTGAACTCACAAAAGAAAAACAATGCATATGAAACTTCTCTGGTTACCAGTTGACGATGCTCAAGAGAATCAGAATGTACCTTGAATTTTTGCACACACTGTGCACACTCACTGTGATGTGAGTCTATTCTCACATCAATGTAGCCTGTACGTTTAAGAAGCTCTACTATTTAAACATCACACTGAACACACAGAGCAAGTGTGTGTGAAGCTGCTGTAAGGAAAAGCAAATCTATACTGAGCACATCAGGAGCTGCATGATTTCTTTTTTCTTCATCTGGAATTTGAGCTCAGTTCTGAACAGGCTACAAGAGCTGTCTGATGCTGACAAGCCACTTCTGGTGATCCCCGCAAGTAGAGAAAACTCTTCATTTTTGAAGATATATTCCTGTAAGAAAATAACTGCCACAACCCTCACCTTAATATTATGCCTAATACAGTGCTGAAGGAGAGCCGATGTAATTTATATCTTTATCAGGCTGAACTTATAAAAGTCTTCTAATTTCCCCTCAAACATTGTAATTCCAATTCCTTGGTCATTTTTCATTGATTCCAGTTTATTGCTGATAAACACTGAACAGGGACCATGAATGAGGTCGCGACTGGTACTGCAGGTTAACACAAATCCCTTGCATGATCATACCATCTTGGTCATCCAGAGTCTTCTTGAGACCAAACATTCTGATTCTCAATTGCTTCATCCTGTTCCTACTCTGTCTTCATGATCATCTAGGTCCTCCCGTAAAACATTCTCAGCTTTCCATGATAGCTTCTTATCTTGTTGGTTCAGCAAATTTTATCTACACATACACCAAAAATAAATTATAGAACATATGTACGAATCAGCTTAATTTGGCATCATCTAGCATATATTTAATTACACTTGCCTCAACAACAACAACAAAAACTTACTCTCAAACATAACACTGCAGTAGTCAGACCAAACAGATCTGAAGTTACAAGAAACATCTGCCATAATCTTCTGAACATCTGGACCAACATAATATCTAAAGGCAGCATGGCATCTGGTGAACAAAATCCAACCTACCAAATACTCAAGATACCATTTCTTGTAATTCTGCAAAAGAACAGCAGAACAGTAAACAGATCTCATCAAAATTCCAAGTCTTACAAGTCTCCAAAAAAGGTAAAATGACACTGATCCACTGATATTATCCACTCAAAACACATGATGTAATTACCAAAGGTCTAAAATGTAACATTATGGTAAAGCTCTCCTCAATCATTTCTCTAAAGGTCTTTCCATTCTGCCTTCCCAAGCATGGTCTCCTCCTCTTCCTCATAGCTGCTCCTCATCTCTTCCTTCCTCTACTGTCCAGAACAAGTTTATCCCCCCTCCTTCTTCCAAAAGAACTGGGATACATTGAGGTCATCCCCATTTTGGCCCCACCTAGGAAACTCATTTACCTGTTATCAGTCCCATTAATATGGACTTTACCCGAGGCCATTCAGAGAGATAATACAAAGTTTGTTCCAAACCACTGGCAGAAATGAACAGTAAACTCAGTCATCTTATTTCCTCGTAAACAGATAGAGGAAACACAAATATGTCAAAGTAATTCATCAAGTCATGGTAAGAAATTCCAATTAAGGTGGGAAGTCTTAAGTATGGATAAATAGGATAAATTTCCATGTGGAACAAAGCCAGCTTAAGCCGTTCCCCCTGCCTCCAATCCATTCCTGCCTCTCACTGCAGCTTACTCACCCTTTGGTCATATCACTGCAACCTGGAACCAAGTAAATGAAAATACTGTCTTAAGAGAAAGTACAAGATTTATTTCTTCCAGTCAACCCCATTGGATAAGACACCTTCCAAACAAGGTGGCATTCCTGTTCTGCACTCTCTGGAAAGTGATTAAAAAAATAAAATTATTTTTGTACAGTTTTTTTGGTTTGAGATAAAAGCACCATAACTGAGTACTTCAAAGCCTGCTCACTTTCTCAGTTTTTCCTCATACTAGATGCACACATATCACAGTTAATACTAGAGATTTAGTATCATTAACATAAAAAAATTAAGCTAGCTTATCTTTCACGGGTAACAGGCCTCCATCTTCTAGTACAGACCGGGGAGCTGCAAATACTCCACATTTATCCCTCACTGTCAGCCAACAACACTCTTTCCCTTCTGCTTCCACCAACCCTGCTCAAGAATCCATCTTCTTGCAATAATCCAGAAGCAGACATCAAAAAAGTCACTGATGATAACCTTCAGGCAGCAACCCAGTGGAGATCTGCTCTGCTACAACCAAAGTTACAGCAATTTGTTATTTTTCAAAATGCTTTAAAACATGCAAGCCAGTACACAGCTTTACTTTGAATCTATCAAGATTCTCCATCTCAGAACTCAGACGCAAACTCTTCTAGAGTTATCTTCTCTAATCAGTCTGTTGAGATGTGGGGATGTGATTTGGATCTGAGGCTGTTCACAACTGTTAACACCACCTCTGTGTCCCAGTGGATTGCCCTGCAACAGAGATGTGCACGTGCTCGTTCTGGAGCACATGACTACGACTATACTGAATTTGCTTGAGTGAATGATATGAAATTTATGTTGGATTTATGCTTTTACATTACCCACAAGAGGGTTAAGAATTTCACATGAATATTTCCTGTTTGACTGCCTAAGGAAGTGTTTGTGAAACTAGCTGCTCAAACATTGCCAGCTCCTATCAACATTCCTCTTTTTTTCTAACCGAAATGAAAGTTGTGACCTCAGAAATTTGCTTGACAACTCGGAAAAGCTGAGCATGGCACCCACCTACTGCATGTACCCCCACCTCCCAACACCACCCAATTTCAGGAGGTATTTGGTAGGAGAGCAGATACATAGAAAAAGGGCTCAGCACAATGCTGTAGCAAGAACACACCTGTGAGTTTAAGATAAAATAGGAAGGAAATGGCTTCGCAAGCTTTAATATTCCCTTTTCCTTTTTTATTCCCCAATAGTTATATTCAGAAAAATCCTTCAAAAATCATCTCACATCTAACAAACCTAACATGAAGTAAAAGGCTTGAAGTCTTCACTTGGTTAAGTTACAGAATAAATTATTAGACTGGTCTAAAAATACAACCAGACATTTCTCTTCAAGGAGCTTTTGAATTGATAATCCCACAACAAAAATTGGTAATAAATTTTTTAATGCAACTGATTAACATTTTAGCTCACTTCGGAGCACTCAGTACCCCCTCACCTGGAAGTATTTAACTCCAGACTGCTGACATTTCCTAGAAATGCATCATAGTGCAAAAACAAGTTATGGTGTTGATAGAGCACAAAGCTCACTGGCCTGCCGCGGGTAAGAAATGTGATTACACCACACCAATCCCCCCCTCCAGCCTTCCCATTTTTCACCACAGAAACCATTCAGCCATAATCTATTTTTGCTGCTGCTGAATTTAAGTGAAAGATAAAGGATCACTGTACACCCACGCTAACAGCCTTGATACTGCTGGTAGACATTTAATGAGCAAAGGGAGGCTCTGAAGGTGCAGAACTACAGTGGCCATGGCAGAGACTGGTGGACTTGTTAAATAATGAAGAGCATCCCCTTCCTATTCATCAGCTGGATTTTCAGAGGGGACCCAGATCCATCTCCAGCTCCAAGGGAATGCCTGGGAAGACGATAGAGGCCACAACAGTGCAGTATTCACTGGAGCAAGGAAGCCACCAACGGTGCTCATGAGCCACTGAGGAGACGCTTCTTGCTGCAACACAGCACCAGCTCATCCCTCTACCATCCAAAGGGAGAGAAAAAACACCAAAAATAGCCTCCCACCATACGTACCATGCTGCCATCCTCTCAGCTAATCCTATATATGTTTTACCAGTCTTAAAACTAAACACTGGGTTCCGTTTTTAAGTGTTACATGAAGACTTTGGTGCAGGTTCTAGTGAAGGGAAAATTCTGTTGTGCCAGATTTCCTCCAGCCAATCTTAGAGCACAAAAAACCTGCTAAAAGCACCACTTGGTACTCTTATACAACTCATTCATGGGATCTCTGATCTCCAACAACACTTTCCCTTGATGTTCAAGGGTCTCCACTGTCTCCCCACTGTCCTTTTCCTGTCATTCCCATAATAAAAGACACCCTTTTTGCCAGCAAAGAGTACAAAGAAGGCAGGCAAGCGATGCTAGAACATCTCTTTAGATGCACACACCTGGGCCTGCACGTATCTCAAACGTTCCCTGCAAGCACTGCCTTTAGACAATGCAACTCACTCACCACTACCATGCCTATTTTTACCCTAGAGGACAGTATCTTTAAACTTGGAGATTTAACTAATAACATTAAAATGACGACTTACCAGTCTCTCATTATCTTCAGAGGTTCTCTGGTAATGAGCTGCTAAAGCAACATAATCCAGCGCCTGCTTGTTACATTCTAAACACTTAAGTCCATGACGGATTAGTCTCTGTGGGTCCGGGTAGAGAGGCAAGGCTGGCTGTGTGTTAGTAGAAATTCCTACCCCATTTCCTGAAGTAGCATTGGGTTTACGTGAAGGAGAGGATAAGTGCAAAGTCTGAGGAGTGGAAGATGCTGAAGAGCTCGCAGAAGGTGAAAACATTTGGTCTAAGGAAATTGGTTTCATCACCAGCTGAGAACACTGCATGATAAAGCCTTTGCTCTTGTGATCTCTTGCATGTTTAAGCAAGCTACATTTATTAAAAAAAAGGAGCATAGTTGAACACTGAGTGCACATAACTTCAATATGAACGCTTCGCCTACTATAGTGTTGAGTCAGGCTTTTCTCTAAGGCAAATGAATCCCCACATTCCAGGCAACAGTATCCAGAGGCTGGTAAATTAATACTGGTGTCAGGTGGAGGGCTAAGGTTTGGAGTATATATTGGCACGGGATTGGCACTGTGTAGCACTTTGTTGAATGCTTCCACGATGACAGGAGCAGCTTTCTTTACTTGATGCACCAGTGGCACAGACATCTGCGTCACCTGAGGCTGATTTCGCCTCTGCGCAGATGACTTCGCTGTAACAGAAGCAGCAACACTGTGGGGAACTAAATTGAGATTTGCCAAGTGCACAGCTTTGGGAAGGAGGCTGGAAGAGGTGGTCACGTTGGATGGCTGCACCATGATACCCTGCTGCTGGTGCTGCTTCTTGTTCAGCTGCTGCCCCGCAACACCAACTTTTATGGCACCACCACCGCAGTTTGGCAGCGGTGATAAAGACACAAGAGATGCAGTATTTGCAGCAAGATCTGCTTTCAAGCCATCTGCGTAAGGGTTCACTATGTTCGACAGCTGGATAGCTACGGCAGCCCCATTTTTGGTTGAATTTTTGCTAACCTCGCTTTCCGTAGCTGCACTAGTGTCAGGGGAAGGGAAAGATTTGATAAACTCTTCAGCAGATGAGGTTTCCAAAGGTGATTCTTCCAAAGACTTGCCCAACTCATCACTTTCTGGCAAAATTCTAGTTACAGTTCTTTTAATTTCACCCGAGGATGTCTTGATAGTCTTGATTCTAACTTTGGGAATAGCTGGTGGAGAGCTGGCTGCCATGGAAGGAGAGCCTTTCCCACTGCTGTCACTGCACACACTTCGAGGGCTCTCAGGCTGCTTGCTGGCCTTCCTCACTACCTCTAAGGGGCTCCGTGGACTCTTTGGTGACTTGGGCATTTTTGGACTTCCCTTTGTCCCATCTTTAAAAGAACCAGGTTCCTTTATAAGGTTTGACTGATCGCCTTTGGGAATACACGCAACCTTTTTGGCCTGAAGAGCTACCAACGCAGCCACGCAGGATGACAGCTTTGAGTGAGTTGGCTTTAACCTCTGGCGAGGTGGTACTGATGAAGACAAGTTCAGCTCAGGCACAGACCCTTTATCTTCTCCTAAATTACTGTGAGGGAGCTCTCCAAACACCAAGCCTTCCCCAAGGAAGCTACTGGTATCTACCAAGTCCTTTCCTGACTCCACAAACCTCTCAGTTGCTTTGTCTTGCTCTCTCCTGCTCATTTCCAGCCTGCTCTCTGGCTGGAAGTGGATCTCCATCTTTTGTTCCTTTTTACAATATTGATCAAACATGCTTAATTCAGGCTCTGGTACCTTCCTGAAGTGATCCAATACTGAAGCTCCTGTTGGCATATACACTGAAGGAGGTGGAAAATACAGAGTTTGAGCATGTTTGGGTTTATCACCAATACTATTCTCTTTGAATGTATCCTCTGGCTCAGGGCTGGAAATGGGGCTAAACTGACTAAAAGTTGGCAGAGGCTCTGACTTGGACTGGTCCAGTTTTTCAGAGTAACTTCTTGAGCTATCACCATTAATAAAAGTTGACTCAAACTTCCCATAATTATGCACCAAAGCATGAGCCTCTGATGGCAGATCAGACCCACGAAACCCATTGTGTAGCAGTCCAGTCCCAAGGTGATTCCCCTCCTTTTCCGCCTCAAAGGACTCCTGGCGACTCGTGTTCTTCACAATAACACTCACAACAGGAGCATCGGAGGGGGGCAAGGAGTGGGATAAGGACACGTTCTCATCTACGCAGATTCCTGATGACTTCAGGTGATTCTCGTTCTCCTCCCCAGCTGATGGAATGGTCTCCTTGGCATCAAGGCTAGTTGGATCAGGGATGTCAAAAGCAGCCAAGAGGTCATCAAAGTCTGGGGTTTTCATGTCCCCCATAGTGAAAGCTACAATTAAAAACAAAATACTTTGTCAGGTATATTTCTCTCAAGCACAAACCTCATAAGGTGTTGATGCAAGCAAGTCAAAAATAAAAACCAAAAGTACCCAAAACATTAACACATCTAAGGACATCTGCTGCAGACACTTCAGCCTCTATTTCAACTGCTCCAAGACTGACTGTTTATACAAAAGATACCAGCTCCGTGGGGCCTAGCTTCCTTAGCACAAAGGTATTCAGGCCAAGAAAGCTCCCTAGGGAAGGGGAAATGACATTCTGTCTTCTGCAGGCCCACCAACAGCTGGTATCAATTCAAGCTGCAGCCACCAGGCTATTTTCACACAATCAAGGGTCTCTTACTAGCTTTAGTTTTTAACTGCTGCCTTGTCCTCACCCTTGAGATGCAGAGACAGTTGACAAGTGACAGGAGCTATTCAAATCCTGTCTCACACAACTTGTCCCCTCCAGAGTTGTTCAAGGCATTGCAAGAAAAGCAGTGGGAGACAGCAGCACCTCACCAACCCTGGTCCATCAAGTCCATGTAGAGGACATTCTTTCACCCATACCTTACAGCTCCAAGAATAACTGTCATCATAAACCTCAACAGAAAAGATTCTGAAATGCATTACTGCATTTGTGGTTGTTTTAGGCTTTTTTTTGGGGGGAGGGGATGTTTGTGGGGGGAGGGGAATGTGTGTAGGGAGGGGTGGGGAAGGAAAGGAGAGCTAAAAAGCAACAGTGACTGCTGATTTCTCAAGAGATTGTTGCATGTGAAGAATTCCATCCTGCTTCGAGGAAGAAAGCAGGAAGTAAACGGGTGACCTGTAAGAAATAAACCTGAAAGGTGAGATGACTTCCTACCCAGGGCAATTTAAATAATACAAGTCTACAGTAAATATTTCAGTACAACAGCTCAAAGCACTGTAAACCAAGCAGGGGTTATCTGATTCAGGAAGCAATCCTTAATTAGGTAATGATGCCACCAGGCAAAACTGCCCACAGACAGAGTAAAGGATTGTATCCAAATCATAACAAGAAATGACATTCCCAGACAGCTCTCCTCACAAGCCTTCCAGAAAGGAGCGGGGCTTAAACACTGGCCACAGAGACCTGCAACAACAATAATCAAGCTCTGAGCAGATCCATGATGAAAACTGACAGCACAGAATCACTTGCACATTTCATTACTGTAAGGAATACTGGATTTGCCTGCACATCTAACCAAAACATTGGTGCAATATACAGACTTCCTGAACATTTAATAAGCTATTATTTTAAGACATTTCATTTTAAAACCGCATTTATATGAGCTGATATATACAGGGAGGAAAAAAGTCCAGGAGCACCAGTTCCTGCATGGCAAGGAGCACACACAGGCACAGCAACTCCTGCCACACTCACTTGATTTGGGCTGCATCAGCACTGCCAAAGCCAGCAGCAAGTGTGGGAGATGGAAGGGGTGGCAAGAGCCCAAAAGAAGGGGGCAGAGCTGGGAGTAGAGGTGCAGGCGGAGAACAGAGCCTGGACAAGGCAGAGGGAGAAAAGCAGCTGTTTGATACCTTCCTAAAAGTCTGGAAGTCACTGATTTCAGACTGCTTTTTTTTTTTTTTTTTTTTTTTTTTAAATAAACTCAGTCACAAATAACAAAGTTCGTCAAACATCACTCAGAAACCAAACAAAATGTTCCCAGCACCAGCAGTCTGCAGGTGGAGTTACAATTTCTAGAAGTGGGCCAGGAGAAATCACTACAGCACAGAACAGGAAGGCATGCTGGTCCTAGAGCATTAGCTCAGTCATGCCTATAGACAAGCCTTGGAGGTGTTGCTTAGGTTAACCTACTCCAAAACACTCTATGGAGATTTACTTGGCTTAAAAGTGGCTTGCTGTGGTTTAGCTTAACTTGTTCTCATTCTTAAATTAAACCACAAATATGAATGTCCATAAAGGGCTCTGCAGCAATTTACAAGTCACACTCCTCAGCAAGGTAAGGCAACTGTGCCTTGAGTTAAGTCCCCAAAACCCAGAAGATTATCCATCTGCTTCCAATCATCAGCAGCCGATAATGAGTTTAGAAACAGCATAGATTATTATAGTTGGCAAAGAGTGTGGATCTGAAGCTTCCCTTTTCTTTGGGTGGGAAAACACACGTGAGTTGGGCAAGAGCTAGGTATCGCTCAGCTGCTGAGATTTCTGGCACACGCATCCCTACGTGAGGCAGACATTTCATTCTGTAACAGGGAACACCCAAGTTTTATATGCTGAAAAAAAAATCAGTTTGCCAATCACTTTTGACCATTCCCTTCTGACCCCCGCATACCTAATCACATCTCTGGATGAATTAGAATGTTAAAACACAAGACAAAACAAAACTGAGGTATCTGCAGCATTACAAAATAAGGTTTTCTTGGAAAAAACTCTGCATTTTTAGGCTCTGCATGCATCTCTGAGTCCATCAAGAGACTACTTTCTCTAAGCTTCTCTTAGATAGAAAACAGAAAAAGTACACTGAAGAAATTCTGCCCAAACCTTCCACAAACTGGCTTGTGTGGAAAGCAGGAAGTAAGGACTTCCATCCTTACTCCATCCTTCCATTGCTAAAGATTTGCCTTAAAAAACAAAGCTCGGAAGCCAGCTTTCTCTCTCTATTCATCTATACAAGAGATGGACACGCTCCAAGACTTACAAAGCAATTGGACAGATCAGTAAAGCAAGCAGTGACATAGGACTCACAGAAGAAAGTACATATATTTCATTTCTTCAGGAGGCAGAGAACGTAGAGGCCTTCACACCATTCCAGAAATCTGTGAACTTGCTCTGGATGCCATAGCAGAGCCCAAGGCCTTCTGGTCCAGCCAAGTTTCACAGAATGGCTTAGGCTGGAGGAGACCTCAAAGATCACCTATTTCTAACCCTCATGCCATAGGGAGGACTGCAAATTGCTAAATCAAGTGTCAGATCAGGCTGCCCATCCAACCTGGCCTTGAGCACCTCCCAGGCTGAGGCATCTACAGCCTCTCAGAGCAGCCTACGCCAGGGCCTCACTGCCCTCTCAGGGAAAAACTTCCCCTGACATCCTACCTAAATCCTCCTTCTATTCCCCCCTGCCCTAACACTATCTATGTAAAAAATCTGATTTCTCTCCTGCTTATAGTCACCCTATAAACACTGGCAGGCCGCAGTGAGGTCTCCC